ATTTCAATTGACCAAGAATCACGGACTCACTCGTGATTCACAATGGGGGGTTGACATGCGCGTTTTTCATTGATCCAAAACGGAGAGCTCAGCTTTGTTGGCCTCCGAATTGAGAGCTGGGATATATTGACTGAAAACGTGGGACTAATGTGTTTCATTTGACAGAAAATGAATGTTTCGCCCCCGTTTTAAATACCCAATTGGTGTTGAAGTGTGTTTTCAATGGCATCAAATGGAAGGCTTTCGGGGATTTTAAGTTCCCCTCAATAGAGGGCTCACCTGTGTTTTAATTGTCTCAAAATTGAGACAATTGAGATTTATTTGATCATCGTTGCAAAGTACGACTGTCATGTGTTCGTTTTATTTTTTAGCATTGAGACGTTTTAAGGTGGTAAACTTTGATTCAAATCCTAATTTATGACAAACCAGTTGGTCAATTGATGCTTAGTGGCACTGACGGCGATTTTCTTCCTTGAAGGCGGTCTGCTTCCCATCTGGCGTCGCAGTCCATGTCCACCCATTCAGACCCGTCAGGTGGTATGTCCCATGCCGGCCCTTCCCCGGGTGCGGGCCTTTCACCCGGCCCCATCCTGGGCCCCAGCCCCGGACCGGACCCTTCGCCTGGCTCCGTTCACAGCATGATGGGACCCAGCCCCGGGCCCGGAACGCCCAACGCGGCCCACGGCATGCAGGGACAGGTGCAGAGTGACTTCTCGCAAGACATGATGTATTCTATGCACAAGGTAAAACGCGGCGCAATTCATTCCATTCATGCTGCGTATTCATGAAATGAAATGCCAGCTTTCGAGGTTCTGCTGTATTATTTGTCCACACTAAAATTGTCGTCTTAAATCAATGTCATTGCTCTTAATTTTTCAGCCCTTGGAGGGAATGAACGACAAGGCCATGGCGGACGCTTTGCACTTTGGTCACATGAAAGGCGTGGGCATGAGATCTCTCCACAGTGGCATGGGCCCCCCGCAGAGCCCAATGGACCAGCATAGCCAGGGTACATTTCAACCTTGTTTGAATTTATTTTCACCATATTTCCTCAAATGTTGGCAGAGGGACTTTTTTTTTTTTTTAATCTGAAAATCCCAGTGATTTCTGTGGAGGTGTGTTATGTTGCATGATCGTCGATGCTTTATGTTGTGTTCTATGAAGCACTTTTTTACAGCTGCAGCTGTTGTGAAAGCGCTAATCAATGATATCAATGCATTGTATTGTTTTGTTTTGTTTTTCAAGGTGACAAATGGTCTATTAAAGTCTGGGCCCCTATTTGAGGTTTTATGGCTATGACTTCATATTTAGTCTACAAGCTGTGAGTGCCCTGAAAAGCACTCACAATCTGCCTCTGGCCTTGCACCTTCATTTCTACTTTAGGCTACATGTCTCCACATCCTTCACCGATGGGCGTGCACGAGCACACGTCCAGCCCCATGTCCGGGGGCGGAGGACCCACGCCGCCCCACATGCCCCCATCCCAGCCGGGCCCCATGATGCCCATGGACCCGCAAGGAGGAGGAGGAGGTGGCGGCGGCAGCGGCGTCATACCCAACATGTCCGGCATGGGCCAGCAGGGCCGGGGCCCGTCGGCATTCAGTCAGGCCCAACTGCAGCAGCTCCGCGCACAGATCTTGGCCTACAAGGTCTTGGGCCGCGGGCAGCCGCTGCCCGAGAACCTCCAACTGGCCGTGCAGGGCAAGAGGAGTCTACCCACAATGCAGCAGCAGCAGCA